GGGCCGAAGGCCCGAAGTGACTCTAAGTGGAAGGATGAGTCCGAATAAAGGAAAGACGGGTCTAAGTGGAAGGATGAGTCCGAAGTGACTCTAAGTGAAAGGATGAGTCCGAATAAAGGAAAGACAAGGTTCTATGTGGAAGGATGAGTCCGAATAAAGGAAAGACAAGGGTCTATGTGGAAGGATGAGTCCGAAGTGCCTCTAAGTGGAAGGATGAGACCAAATAAAGAAAAGACAAGGGTCTATGTGGAAGGATGAGTCCGAAGTGACTCTAAGTGAAAGGATGAGTCCGAATAAAGGAGTCCGAAGTGACTCTAAGTGAAAGGATGAGCCCGAAGTGGCTCTGAGTGGAAGGATGAGTCCCAACACTCATCCTTCCACTCAGACCTTCGGCGAGGGCCGAAGGCCCGAGCTGACACCCATCTAAAAGGGAGGGCGAGTGACTCTAATTGAAGTGACTCTAATTGAAAGGAGGAGTCCAATCGAAGGAGGAGTCCAACCCATCTAAAAAGAAGGGCGAGGGCCGAAGGCCCGAGCTGACACCCATCTAAAAGGGAGGGCGAGGGCCGAAGGCCCGAGCTGACACCCATCTAAAAGGAAGGGCGAGGGCCGGAGGCCCGAGCTGACACCCATCTAAAAGGAAGGGCGAGGGCCGAAGGCCCGAGCTGACAAAAAGGGAGGGCGAGGGCCGGAGGCCCGAGCTGACAGCCATCTAAAAGGAAGGGCGAGGGCCGAAGGCCCGAGCTGACACCCATCTAAAAGGGAGGGCCAAAGGGTGGAAGGATGAGTCTAAGTGGAAGGATGAGTCCAATCGAGGGGAAGACGAGGGCCGAAGGCCCGAAGTGACTCTAATTGAAAGGAGGAGTCCAATCGAAGGGAACACGAGGGCCGAAGGCCCGAAGTGACTCTAAGTGGAAGGGCGAGTCCAATCGAGGGGAAGACGAGGGCCGAAGGCCCGAAGTGACTCTAATTGAAAGGAGGAGTCCAATCGAAGGGATCACGAGGGCCGAAGGCCCGAAGTGAAGCTAAGTGGAAGGGTGAGTCCAATCGAGGGGAAGACGAGGGCCAAAGGCCCAAGTGACTTTAAGTGGAAGGATGAGTCTAAATGAGGGGAAGACGAGGGCCGAAGTCCCGAAGTGACTCTAAGTGGAAGGATGAGTCCCAATGAAGGCTTATCTTTTGTTCCAGGCATAAAAAATCGCTAGCGGCGCGCGAAGCGCGCCCCCAAAGCCGTTAGGCTTTCCAACGGGCAGAAGTATCGTAACCTAAAGAACCCCCCGATGTATTTTACTGCCACAGTGTCCTGATATCAACAACAGTGGCCAAACCCATCGCTAGTTAGTTTATATATTTTGCTTATAACAAAATTGGCCGTCAGGCAAAATTCAGTAGCATTTCTATCAATTAATTCTTACATTGTAAATCTTTTCTTTTTTTGTCGGCAACAAATCAAAAAAAAAGAAATTAAAAGAAAGACAAAAAATATTTGGACAATAATTTGTTACAAACAAAAATATTTGGGGCGCCTTGAGGGACTTTATAAATATTCTTTTGCGGCAAATATTTATTGTTATAGCTAATAAATTTGTTTTTTAGAGATTAATTTAGATTATAATTAAATATTATTAAAGTTTATTGACTTTTTTGATTGTTTAACTAAATATTGAAGTATTTACAGATAAATAATTAACTATTCTCCACTTTATTTCATCCACAATATTTTGGTAAAATTTGAGTAGATCATGGACCTTCAAACTCTAGAAAAATTATTTAAATATTAAGGTTGGATAAAAAAAGTATCAGGGATTATTTTTGATAATTTATAATTAAAAATTGATTTTTTAGAATTTCAATTTTCAGTCAACATTTATTTGTAGGATTATCAAAATGGTCCGACTCGGACCGAAAGATCGAATCAGACCTAAGATATGTTTATGGTCCAAAAGTGACTTAAACCGGACCGACCTCGACGGCAACCCTATTTATTTGTAATTAAATTATTGAGTAACTAAAATAAAAACGTTTGATATTTTAAAGTATTTTCCAAATAAATTTGGAAAAAAATACAATTTAATTTTCACATCAAAACTTAAATTTATTTCGATATTTTACCGCATCTCAAAACTTTTCTCATTTTCTTTAAATTTTTATTCATTCGAGGATTATCCATGAGAGAACGGAGAGAATTATTTACCTATTTATTAAATCTTTTATTCTTCTTATTTAAAAATCTTTTCATAAAGTTTCTGATTTAATCCAATCAGCACGCTTAATTGAATAAAATATATATAATCCTATTAGTATTTTTTATTTATTTATTCCCCCGAGGCATAATTTGAAATTAAAATTATTTTCTGTTATACTTCTAACGTTCCTCGTCCCTAAATATGGATATACTCTTACTAGAGCTGTTTCAAAACAAAAAATTTTCAAAAATCGCAAATCAAAATTTATAAACAGCTCCTCGGTTATAAAGATACTAAACATTAATTTTATTTAATATTTTTTTTGTTTTTCAAAAATTTAAAAGAAAAACATTTTCTTTATTATTTTTAACAAAAACTAATAGAAGGATAAAAAGATTATCTAAAAAGATTTTCTTTTTATTCAAAAATAATTCCCCTCTTCTTGCTTTTAGAGAACGTTCAAATAAATGTTTTTAGTTACTTGGATCAGTTAGAAAGAGGGGATAATCGCTTAATTATGTGCTGTCAACACTTTGAAGGACACAAAGCGGTAAAAATTACGAAAATATTAAAAATAAGATTGAATTGTTATTAAATAGTTATTTTAATGGAGAATTGAATTTTGAATTAAATTAAATAAATTATTAAATTTAAAAAAATTTTATAGATTTTGGAATAAAAATTAAATATTTCAACAAAAAAATATCTGACAATATTAAAGAAAGAGTTTAACAAAAGTTTAGCCACCGGACAGGATGAGAACATGCAACTCTACCACTGACTACAGGGGCTCGACTAATGCCTACTCTTTTATCCATTTAGATCATTTAAACCTCGTCTAGGTGTTTTAAATGCTCTGATCATCACATTAACAGTTCTTGTGATTATTATAAATATTTTTTTAATTATATTTTAAAAATTATTAGAATAAATTTTCTTTAATTTAACTTTTTAAATCGACTTTATAAAATTCTTTTTTTATTTAAATATAAAAAGTAATATTCTAAATAAAATTATTATATATTTGATATAAAAATCGCAACATATATAAATTATTTTGAGAGAAAGAAAGATGATTCGCGCACAAATACCTCAAAAAAGGTTTTTGTCATTTATCTAAAATTCTCACATATAAGAAAAATTTACGCGAGAATATAAGGGTAAGTTGCGGGAAAGTGAAACATGAAGAAGATGTGTGAATTATAGGTTTTATTTATTTAAGAGAGATTTTGTTTTTAGATTATTTTTTGGTTTTTGGATTGGTATTTTAGTATTTTATTTAATTAAATTTTTGTGAAGGGGTTTTTCTTTAAAATAATTATTTTGGAAAAACTTTTTAGAGTTGAGTACGTGAATCTATTGAACGAGTTCACTCGGAAAAATTTTCAAAAAAAATGTTCTAAAGTCAGAACAATTCCTTAAAATATTTCTTTAAAATAACTTAATTTAAGCTTTAATCTAGTTATATTGACAGATAAAGACTTGAAGTATGTATTCGATGGTTACTCCTAGAAATTATTTTTAAATAAAAATTTATTTCAAAAAAATATTTAAATATTTTTGTTATTGGTTAAAATGAAAGGCGGAGCTTTTAACGAAAAATAAATTTAAAAGAAAAAGGCGTTTCTCTATTCTCTTCTCTCTTTTTAAAGAAATATTTACGTAAAAATCTCTTAAATATTTTATATACTGTATTTCTTTTTCTTCTCCTTCACACACTTTTATTCAAAACTTGTTAGCCGTATATTTTTTTAATAATAAAAATTATCTTTTTTTAGTAAAAATTAAATGAATAATCCTTCCCAAAATCACCCTTTTGCCTCTACAGGACAATTACTTTCTTTCCCTCCCGAATGTGCGGCACCCCCTCCTATGGCATCAGCTTATCCCCAATATACACCGGTTGTTCATCTTCATGGCCATTTTTATATTCCGGCGCCAACAACCAACAATAATAATTTAAATAATAATACAATACAGCAACAACACAATTTTATTGTAAATTTTTTTAATTTATTGGAAGTTTTGTAGGAATACTCATTTTAAAATTTTTAATTTTTATTCAAAATTGATGATAAAATTTTTTTTTAATTTTTTATATACCTAAATTTTACTTTAAAGTTCTTAAAAAACTTTTCTTCCCCTCACAATTCTTTCTATATTATTTTTTTAGTCTGGCATTCCCTCCCAACTTCCCCCTCCTCCCTCACATCCTCACCATCATCATCAACAACTTCATCATCATCATCCCCATTTTTTTCTTGAACAATCCCATCATCACCAACATCCTTCCTCCTCCTCTTCTAATTTTCTTTATTTAAATAATAACCAATTTAATTACCCAACAACAACAACAACTTCTTTAAATTCCTCTCCATATTCTTCCTCTTCAAATAATTTATTAATTAAATCTGAAGAGAAAGAAAAATCTACACAAATTTATTCTCAGGATAATTCTAATGGATGTGTAACACCCAATTTTTTGTCTGAGAATGCGGGAAATCAACACTTTCCTAATGAAAAAGGGACGGTTATTAACAACAAAATTGGTTAGAAAAATAAAAATATTTTTAAATTAAAAAATTTTTTCCAAAAGATTTTTCTCCCCCTTCCTTCCCCTCTTCTACCTATACATGTATTGGACAAAATATCATCACTAACAGTCAATATCCTCATCTACAAAATAATTCTTTAAATAATTTGGGGCATTCTTCTTCTATTGTTAATAATAATTATTCCCCTTATTATAATTCAACAAATAATGATTACAAAAATTTATCAGAGATTAAAGGGCCTAAAATTGAAAAACAAAAACGTCTTTCCAAAACTGGAAGGTTTTTTGAAATAATTATTTTTAAAAATAATTTAATTTTTTAGAAATAAAAGAAATATTACAAAACAACATCAACAATTAATTATTCCAAAAGAATTACCCACACAAGTAAATCCCCCATCAATTTCCCGTTCTGGCCCAATTTGTTGTAAATGGATGATTAATTCTTTTATTAATAAAAATAATAATTTAAATAATAATCAAAGAAAACTTTGTGGTCGGTTATTTGATTCAATGCAGGTAATTAATTTTAATTAATTATTTGGGACTTCAAGAAAATAAAAAAATAACCCTCCCTATTTCCTATTTACCTAATTTAAAATTTAATTTTCTTTTAAAAAAGTTGCTTGTCGAGCATTTGGACACAGAACATTTAGGGCAACATTCAGAAGTAATTCCTGAATTAAATTCTGAATATTCTTCAACATCAACAACAATACATATTTGTTTATGGCAAGGATGTCAACGCGCGGGGAAGGAATTTAAAGCAAAATATAAATTAAAAGTAATCTTTTTAAAATACTTTTTAAATAGAAAAATAAATCTTTTTCGAACCATTTACGTGTCCATACTGGAGAGCGCCCTTTTGAATGTAGAATTTGTGGGAAGACTTTTGCGCGTTCAGAAAACCTAAAAATTCATCATCGTATTCATACAGGTGGGTGAAAATAAATAAAATATTTTCTATTTTGGGAGAAAAATACATATTTTTACAGTAAAAATATTTTTTTCTGGGAATTTAACTAAAGGCAAGAGTCGGCTTCTAAAAAACAACAATATATTAATTTATATAAATTTAATAAAAAAACAATTGTCATGAAAATAAAAACAAAAACAGAAATCCGCGAAAGGCAATTAATAAATGAAAAAAATATTTTTATTTATTTAATATTTTCTATTATTATGTGTGAGTTTTCTTTCCTTTTTTGTTTTCTTTTTTAGCGGTGTCTTAAGTTAAAAAGGTGTTTATCAAGGTTAGGTATATATTTATTTTTTTGGAAGGAGGGCAATTTCTGTCCCAACAAATACATATATTTTCCCGTCTTGCAACCTTTTATCTTTAATCTAGGGGTTTTAATTAATTGAAGAAGAGTCAAGAAAGGGGAGAATATTGTATTTATTCTACTAATAGGATAATAATAAACTTTTGGAAGTCAAAAGATTATTAGCTTAGATCATTTCTCTCATTCTCGCTCAATTCTTTTTTTTTATTTTTAATCTCTCTCTTCTATTCACTGTTTTAGTAATCACAAAATAATTTTTTGTTTTCCCCTTAATTTATTACTCAATCAATTTTTATTTAAATTGTTTAAAAATCACCTCCTCCCTCCTCCTCCCCCTCCTCTCCCCCCTTTTTTACCAAAAACTCTCAATTATTCCCCTTCCAAAACCTCGAATTAAAAAAAGTATTCTTCTAATAAAATGGCATATTACAAAACTGTTTTTGGGAGGGGAAAGGGGGGAAAGGGAATGTTTTTTTCTCTTCACACCTTTAATACTTCTCATTTTTCTAGGGGGAATACCATGCAGGTGATTATATAAACAAATTGCTGCCTTTTAAATAAAAAAAGGGAAATTTTAATTGTTTTTTCAAATAAAAATTTTGGCAATTAATTGAGGACAATTATTTTGGGGGAAATTAAAAATAAATATTACAGAATGCCAAAAATAATTTTATTTTTTAAGTTAAATTTTATTTAAACTTTCCAACTCTTTTTAACACTAAAACATGGCCCTCCTTTCCTCCCCCCCCCCCTCCTTTACTTCAATTAATTGCCCTTATTATTTTGTGGAAGAAAAATAATTTTTGTAAGGAAAGGTAAGAAAAAGAAAAACAAACAATTGTTATATATTTAAATTGGCCAAATCCACCTTTCCAAAAATATATTTATTTAATTGGCTTTTTCCTTTTTATTCAAAACATTTGGTTTTGGAGGACAATTATTACTTCCGGAAATTTTTTGAAATTTTTTTATTTAAATGTTTTGTTTGGGAGAGGGGAAGGGGATATTTAAATATAAAAATATTTTGAATTAAATAAAATATATTTTAAAGAAAATTTTTAGAAAAAACTTCAAATCCTCTTATAACCCTTGCTAAGATCGGTGCTTTTTTCTGTTGCTACATTAAAATATTTATTTTTAATTTATGCATAAATTCCTTTAAATTCTTCTCTTTTATTTTTTCTAGAAATTTCAAAAAATTTAAAAATTACTTTAAAAGAATCATAAAAAAGTTGTTAAATTTATTAGGTTATTCACATAAATTTAAATTTATATTTTCTTCTAATTGGTTATTTCTTTTATTTTTATTGTAGGCGCGCGCATTTAAATTAAAAAAAGGAATTTATTTCTTTTTTTTGTTTTTAAATTTAATTGAAAGAAATGTTACAGAAAATCTGTCTCTTTTAAAATTAAAAAATTAAAGGAATTTTATATTAAATTGGGGTTTTTACTTGCGGTTATTTTTATTTAAAAAAAAGAAAGGAAAGAATATATACAGTTATTTAAATAGTTGTGCATCTGTCCTTTCCTTAAAAGAAATATTTTTTAAAATTTTTTTGGAATAAATTATTAAAAGAAAAATTTAAAATTAAAAGATTTATTTTTACTTTTTTTAGGAGAAAAGCCATTTCCCTGTAAACATCCAGACTGCCCCAAAGTGTTTGCAAATAGCTCTGATCGCAAAAAGCATCAACATGTACACCAACAAAGAAAGCCTTATAGGTGTGATCAAGATGGTTGTGACAAGAAATATACACATCCTTCTAGTTTGCGAAAACATTTGAGGGTATTTAAATATTTAAATAAATTAAAGGAGAGGAAAGGGGGATTAAATAAATAAAGTCAGTTAAAGCTTTTAAAAATAAATTGAAATTCGAATATAAATAACAATTTCATCTGAGAAACACTATTAAAAGAAAACTCAATGACAAGTTTAAAAATAAGTTTTTATTTAAAAGCGGACACTTTTACTAAAACTTAAATCACTAAGTATTCTTGCAAAATTAAAAAATATTAATTTAAAAAATATTTTTAAAACTTTTTTATTTGGAAATTAGAAACTTTAAAGAATTTTCAATCTCTTCTTTTAAAAAATAATTTGAATGAGTGGCCTTGCTTTAGAGATCGTGTTGCGCAACATTATTTTCTCACTTTTTAAGTATTTACTCAATAAAATAAATATATTTTTCCTCTTCTTCCTTCCTTCTCTCAATTGACCTCGGTATATTCCGCCTTGCTTTTCGATTCCATCTGCTTTTCTTTTAATTTTTTTTTCTAGAGATATTTTTCTGCTTGTTGATTTGTTCCTTAATCCTTCTTTAGATTTACTCAGATTTTTGTATATATTACATACTCAATTTCAGCCTGTCATACTTGAATATATTGAGGTAAAGAGAGAGAGAGGGAGAAGAAGATAACACTTAAATCGGCAAATTAATTTGTACCAACTTCTCATTTTTTATTCACTTATTTTCTGCTTATTTTTGATAAGAGGGAAAAGAGAGAGAGAAAATTGCTTTCTAAAAAATTTAGAGTTAAAAAATTTTATTTGGAAATTTATAGAAGAATTTGAAATTTATTTGAATAGAAACTTCAAAACTCTACTTATTATTTAAGAATTCCCTTCATGTGTGCTTTTAAGAATTATTTTATTGAGGAAAACATTAATTAGACAATTTTAAAATTAAAAAGGAAATCAAATTTTTAAAAATATATTTTAGGCAGTCCACGGCAAATTAATGCCTTCAACCTCCCTTTATTCTTTTCAACAAGAGAAGAGTGTTGGGGAAGTGGATGATGAAGATACGGACGAAGATGATGATTCTGGTTTGGGGACAACAAATTCCTTAATAACAACAACAACAACTTCCCCATTAAATCAACAACAACAGCAACAATTTTGGAGAAAACAACAACAAAATAATTATTTAATACAAGAACAACAACAACAATTTCAATTAATTCAACAACAACAACATTCACAACAACAATTTTTAACAACTTCCAATACTCCTTTTACTTTATTTACTTTTTAATTAAAATAAATCCAATTAAATTTAATATTCTTTGTTAATATACTTGTTATTATTAAATTAACAACTAGGATGGGATAAAACCGTTTAATTTTGAAAAACCCGTATACCATTTATATGAGACCCGTATACCGTTCCGTTTAATTTTACCAGAAAACCCGTTTACCGTTTAGTTAAACGGTTTTGTCCCACCCTATTAATAAACTTAAAATTCGATTAGAAAATATTTTTCTTTTTTTACATTAGTTTAATTGTTCTGTTTTAAATTTAACAAAAATTTTTGTAAAATATTTAAGCCAAAAAATTTGCCAAAAAATATTTTTAGTATAACCCCCTTTCAATAACCCCAATTTCCTCTAAACTTTTTTTGTTTTGTATTTTTAGCAAACAAATAAAAATAAATATATTGCGTAATGTTCAATTACCTGTATAGAATAAATTAATTAGTAAATAAATAAATACATATATTTACAGTTTATACTTAAATTTGGAATGAAAATTTGAAATAATTATTTTAAAATAATTTTTAATTAAAAATTAGTTTTTTTTTTATTTTTAACTAAACAAACTTTTTGGGTATTTATTCTAGTGATCGGAATTAATAAATTAATAAAATAATACCGTACTACGGCACGGAATACCGATAAATACCGTCGTAGTACGGTACCGTCCGAACACTAATTTATTCATCAAAAATAAAATTTTAAATTTAAAATTAATTTCCAAAAATGTATATTTTTTTGAAATTTATTTTTAAAAATTGAGAAGATACCAAAAAAAACTTTTTTTATTTTTACTTTTTCAATTTTTTGGAAAAAAAGTTAAAACAAAAAATGAACAAACAAAGAAAAACAATGAAAAATAAGATGGCACTTTTTTAACTGTATTTAGTTAAAATAAATGTACACTAAAGCAAACAAAAAAATATTTACCCAAAAAAATCTTTTTTGATTTTGACCTTGACGTACTTTTTTTATTTTCAGAAAAACAACCAAAAAATGTTTTCTTTTTATTTAAAGCGTGCCATTTTTTATTAATTTGATTGACAAAGAAAAACAATGGAGAATAATTAATTTTAAATAAATTTGAATTAAATTGACTAAAATTAATTTTAAAAATTGGGAAACTAATCTTTAATTTTTTTGTAAATGGATCTACAGAATTTTTTTAAAAAACACATTCCTCTTTATATTTTTAAATTTTCAAAATCAATTTATTCACAAAATTATTTTTTTAATTTTTTATGAAATAGAGAAGTTATCAACATGAAAGAATAAAGTCTATACATACATATAATATTTTTTAAAAAGGGTGTTATTCCTAGTGTTATTCAAACGCGATTTTTCGGTATCGGTATCGGTATTTTCGGTAAAATACCGATACCGAAAAAATACCGATTTTTTAAAAATTGTTCGGTACCGTTAGTACACCCCAATGTACCGCGAGGCCAACAGAGCTATAACCTCGTTCAAAATGCTTAAATCCGGGACGCCCTGATATGGTTCGATTTAGCTCGTCGAGATGCATCGAAACATACCAAGACTCCCGGATTCGACTATTTTTAACAAAGTTATAGCTCTGCGGTAGGTTGGGCTCGCGGTACATTGGCCTACTCCCATAATATTTTTAAAAAAATTTTTCTAAAACTGCGGGAGTTTTTTTTATTTTTAATTTAAATATAAAAATAATTTTTCCCTCCTTTTTTCAAAACTATTTTTATTTTATTCCTATAACTGTCACAATTTGTTGCATTCATAGAAAGTTGTTTGAAGAGAAGAAGGAAAAAAATTTTTGATTGAAAAAGCCGTCTAATAAACCAGCCGTTTTAATTTTATTTTGCGGTTTTTCTTTTTATTTTTACCTCAAAAAGAAAAAAATACCGAAAGGCACGGCGCTGAGATTTTGAGAGTTTATATATAAATTACTTGCGCGTGTGATTTTCAAATAAATTGGGAAAATTAGAGAATTTTGTAAAAGAAAATTGGAATTGAGGGGAAAATACATAGATTATTTTAAAAAAATTTAAAAAATTTTAAATAAAATATCTATGAATTTTGGAATTACCGTATATGCTCTGATAATTACCCTGGGTATTTATCGTTTCGACCACTCGCTGGAGGAAGTAATTAATATAGTGGGGGTAATTATTTTAGAGGGTAATTAATAGAGCATATACGGTATTTTGCCTTTCAGTGAATTGTTGTTGTAGGGAATTGTCCTCCCAAAGACTTTATCAGTCAGGTATTATTTTTTTTAAATACCCACCAACAAAAATACATTCAACAATTTATTTAAAAATATTTTTTTTAGATTTATTTGCTTTTATCTTCAAAATTTTCTTGACTATTTTAGATAACAAAGAAGCGGCAAATTTCTTCAAAAAACAAAAATTCTCCTATTTAATTATGTAATAAGATTAGAAAAAAGCCAAATATTCATGCGTATTAAATAAATAATTTTTTGTTTGTTTGTAAATATTTTAGTTAAGTAAATTACTTTAATTACTCAACAATCACATAAAAAGAAAAAGAAGAAAATGCCGTCAAAGATTTTGATTTTTTGACAAAAAATTTTTAAATCTTTTTTTGATTAATAAAAATTATATTTTAAATTTAATAAATAAAATATATGTAAACAAATTCTTTGATATTCTTTAAATTCTTAGATGTGTCCCCTCACCCCCTGTCTAATTGTTATAGCTAATTAAAAAACAAAAATTCCTTAATTATTCTTTAAAATAATTTTAATTTAATTTAATAAATCTAGTTTTTATTTATTTATCTCAATAAACTTTTAAACTACAAATCAAGATTAAATAAATATAGGGCATCTATTTAAAACTAGATTTTTAAATATTAAACAGCATGAAAGAGAACAAGAAGAAAACAAGCTAATTAAAGAAACACGTGTTTGTTGTTGTTAATTATTCTCATTTTTATTTAATTTTTATTTTAAAAGCATTTAAAAAATAATAACATCCTTGAAGTTTAATTTGTTACAGTAATGAATTGGGTAGTTATTTAATCGGAATTTAATTACAAAATTGTAATTAAATATTTTCAGTGTATATTTCCTTTAAAATTTTTTTTCAAGTCATTTAATATTAAATATAAATTATTTAGTATGTTCATTAAAAAATTATTTTTATCATTTTTTCTTTTTCTAATTTTTACTCCTTCAATAAATCAAGCATCTTATTGTGGTCAATCAGCTATTCCTTTTAGTCTTGAAGTAATTTTTATTTTTTAAAATATTTTCTCTCTTTAAATTAAAAGATTAAAGAAAATTCCCAGCCAATTTTGGGCTGTGCAAGGCCTTCTTGTTTTGGATTGTCTTCAAATAAACAAAAATTAGATTCCAATCCAGCACAGTTTTTTAAAATTTGGGGACACCCAGATGGATTTATTAAATCAGTTTCTTCAATTAATGAAGTTAAAAAAACTTCTTTTAATGAAATTTCGGTAATTTATTTTTTAATTTAAAATTGTCTAGCAAAATCAATTATTATTAAAATTTTACTAGTTAATTTACAAAAAAAATTAACAAAAAGTATTAGATAATAAATATCATGGATTAATGAACTAAAATGGGGAACTCGGGTTCGACTCCTAACGGCAGATTGTAGCTGGTTAATTGTAGTTCCTGAATATGACTAAAGGAAAGAGAAAGAGCCTCCAAAGAAAGCGCCTTCTTAAAAGATTTTTTAATTATTTTAATTAAAACCCAAAGATATTTTTTGGATTTTAAATTTAATCTAATTTTTATTTAGCTTTGGTAAAATTAAAAATTTTTGTATAAAATCATTTCTTAATTTTTAAAAAATTTATAGAAATGTGACAAATCATTTACTCGAAATCATTGTAGTAAAGGAACTTGGGTAGGTGGAATAGCTCCATCTGCAATTATTACACCAAATTATCCGTTCGAATTTTTTTTAAATTTTTCTTTAAAAATAATTTAAATTTTTTCAGAATTAAATTAATTTGTTGTTCTAACAATAAATTAAATAATTCTGTTTTGTCGGGTAATCCACAAATAAGGGCTGGTCAAATGATTTTGGGAGGTGAAGTTTTTAATAGAAATGGACAACAAATTGGTTTTGAATATATTTCTAATATTTGGAGAATTTTTGATAAAAAAGGGTAAATTTATTTTTTGTTAAATTATAAGTAGAGTTGAGCGGTATCGGTAATCCGTGAAAAAATCGGTATCGGTATTTTGGAATGATGATACCAATCCCTATACCGGCTCGGTATTGATAACCGTCGGTACCGGTATCGGGATCTGTCTTTCGGTATCGGTATCAAAAAATCGGTATCAGGATACCGCTCAACTCTAATTATAAGCAATTCAAGTAAACCCCCCCCCCCTCCCCCTATTATTAAAAAATAAATTAAATTTCAGAGTTTTATATATCGCAGAAATTCGAAAATTTGATTGTTTTTCACAAATAAATAATCAAAAAATAATATTATCTAATAATAAAATTAAAACAAAAAATGAAGATATTAGGGAGAAAATAAAAGAATTAAAGAGAATAAATGATGAAAAAGAAAGGGAAATACTTAAAGGTTTTCCTTCTAAATTTTAAAAATAGAAAATTTATTTTTTTTTTAGAATTTTCTGAATATGAAATTGATTTAAAAGATATTCCAAACAATAATCATTCAACAACACAAACACAGCAATCACAACAACATATTCATATTGGACATCGGAAAAGAAATCCTTTAACTAAAATAAAATCAAAGTTGGACAAAGTTGAGACAACAAGGAGGAGGAAGCAACAAAAATGGAATGACAACCAAAATGTAAAACTTTAAATTTTTGAAAGGATTCAAAAAAATCTCAAAGGTTGATAAACCTATCTATGCTTTAAGCTTAATAAAAAATGCAAACATTTACATATAAATTTTATTTTACAACACCATATAAACAAACAAAAAAGGCAATGCAAATGGAAAAAAAAGGAAATAAGTACATACAAACACAACAAAAGAATCGAAGGAACAAAATATCAAGTATGGAAATATCTCAATCTGTCTTCTTCGCAACATCGATTATCCTCCTCCTGTTGTAGTAGATGATGTTCCAGCATCGGTGTCGCCCTTCGTTCCGCCAGCACGTGCAGGTGTCGCTGTTAATGGGCGGCCAAATTCGTCCAAAGCCATTGGTTCCACCACAACTTCCTCCACGTGGTAGACTAAAAATGGGGAAAAATTTTCGTTATTCAAAGACGGATGACGCAACGAACCATTTGGTCTCGTGTCAGATGACGTTCCACCCCCGTCCTCAGTTTGCTTATCTTCACAGGGTTGCAATTTGTGATTTCGATTCCAAAATCCCTTGTGCTTTTTCATTAAAAAGCGTACATCGAGCGGTAATTCATTCTGACTCTTCCTCTTCACATTGCGGATGATCTTCAGCACGACCAATGTCCTTTGTTCGATTGCCTCCCGGATGAGCCTTTTTGCTTCGTCGTTGTTTGAAACGACTTTGCCCCCTACTGAAACAAAATAAATTTATTTCCGGTTAATTTTGAGTTATCTTTTACCTTTCTCTAAGACGTCCCCATACTGAAAAAACTGATTTGCAATGCTGCCCGGCTGAACTTGCGTCACGACAATGGTACCATTCTAAAAATCAAAACAAATTTCCCAAAAAAAACCTAAAAAATTTGTCTTACCCTGTTCTCGATGACCAGCCCAAGAGGCAAATCCGCCCTCCAGCGAGCTTGTACGTAGAAGGCCTCTTGCTGTTCGCCTTTTGCTGTCCTTTTAATGACCTTCATCTTGTAGAAGATGTCGCGTCGGAACTGAACGTTGACACTTCTAGGCAGCCGTCCTTCTGAGCAGCGCGCATTGAACTCGTCACCAGAGTTGATTGCCTGAAATTAGAGATGCGTTAATTAAGCCTAAAGCTTAAAATCTGTCCATACTTGTCCGTCGACGCTCAAAACGACATCACCAGGCATCAAATGTCCAAGGAAGCAGGAGTCGTACCGGAGACGTTCAACACGCGGCGGGTTTACAGCATAAAAAGTGACGCCAGGTTTTGCATCGGGCACCAGAACTTGCATGGTTTCCTCCTGGATGTACCTCTGACCTTAAAACAATAAGCAGGTTGTTAATGAGAAAAACAATAATTAAAGCAAACTCACTTTTTTGTGACATACGAGCCCGCAAAGGTATAGTTGAAGGTCCGAGTAGAGTTGAAGAACGCGCCCAGATTAGTGGTTGTTGAATTGATGGAGTCTGTTGGAGTCATTGAATTGCTCGTCTTTATATAGTACTTATCTCACGGCTAATGATAATCACTTTACTCTATAAACCAGTCTTACTATCAAAAACCTAAACCATGATTCCTTTCCTACACATCGACCAAACTATTTGTAGGATCTCTTTGCAATATCAATTTCATCTATCTCTCTTTAGTAATAACAAAGGATGATTAGTAATTAATGAACAGTACATTTTGCGATACATATATACCTAATCTATTGCTTCAAGAGTTTTGACTCAAACTCTTGAAACCAACCTTTTAGTAGTTAAGAGAATTAGTTTTAAAAAAGCAGCACAAGTACTATTTCTATGTCATAACTTTGTCAAAACTTATCCAATCCCAAGATTTTGATGTCATTTTAATAATCTCATTCACATAATCATGAAACCATGTAGGGAAATAATTGATAACGCCAAAGCGATTTGTTCTTTTTAAGATTTTTTTCAAGGTTCAAAAAATCAAGTCGAAATACCAAAATACGTCGGAATTAAAGCCAACAATTCTGAGTGCAAGCCCATTTGGTGGATACAAAATACAACAGCCAGAAAAGTCATAAAGATTTAATTTTGCTTTTTTAGGAATATTCCCATCTATTTTTATGATATTGTTAATAAATTGTGTTTATAAAAAATGATACAACACAATTAAATTTTAAATTGAAAAACAATTTTTACCTTTTTTTCTATGTATATTTCTAAATGCCTTGAACAGCGAAAAATCAAGTCGAAATAGCATATATAGTATAGACGGGGGTATTATAAATCAACTAGGAATGTAGTTAATAAACTCGAAAAATAAAATATACATATCTAACCTCATAATATATGTACCAGGGATGTCACGGGTCGAAATTGCGGGTTTGCGGGTTTGTAATTTTGCCCATTTTCTTATATCTGAAATTAATTGAAAAAGTGTATACGGAGTAATTTTTGTCAAATTTTTATAATTTTTTTGCGTGCTTTTTGAACAGAAGTTAAAATTTTTTGACCAATTCTTGGCAGTTTGTCTGTCAACCATAAAGCTATACAAATAGAGAATTATTTGAAAATTGGACCAAAAATAAAGTCTCAGGATTCTTTTTAACCTACTCCATATACACTTTTTCAAATTAATTCCATATATAAGAAAATGTGAAAAATCGCAACCCGCAAACCCGCAATCGTCGACCCGTGACATCCCTGATATGTACCTCATTTTAAAAATTAAAATTTTTCTTTCCAAAATTTAATATGAAAAATGAATGTTTGTATATATAGACGGGGGTATATGTAAATCTGTTTTTAATCATTTTTAAGTTGATTCAAGTCTTTAAACATGCACTTATTTTTAAATCATTTGGCTATAGCTGTTGACCAGATTCTTATAGTTCCTTAAAAAGGAAATGTTTTAAAAAAGACTAAAATGTTTAAAAAATCCTTCCAAATTAAGATTAAATCATCAAAAAAATTAACAAAAATCAACAACCATCATCACTGCCGGAAGCCAACATTTGCGAATCTGCAGGATTCCAACTAACTGAATTAACTGTGCCTGCAATTAAAAAATAAATTTCTTTAAATATTTCCAAACATTGTCTTACCTAAATGTCCATGCAATTTCCATACAGGATTTGAACGACGTAAATTCCAAATTGTGACAGTGTTGTCTAAATAATATTATAAAAATAAAAATTAATTTAAAAATTTTATACCTTCAGATCCAGAAGCACAAAATGAGTCGTCGGGACCACCAAATGTACTTGTTATTATCTGAAAATAATTCTCCAATTTAAAAAAAATTAATTTTATTTTTACTTACATAATCATTATGATTCGCTCCAAAAAACGTTCGGATAAGTGTATTCGTCTTTAAGCACCAAAGGCGAATCCCCTCCGTTTTTGTTGTAATAAGGCAACAACTTTCATTACGTCCAACAGTAAAATGCATTATTTGTGAAGATTCTTGTATTATTGTGTGCTCTCTTTGAGTTTCGAAATCATATTTTCGAATTCTAAATTTGAAATTTGATAACACCACAATCAAATTGAAAAAAAATTTTACGCCCATGACATCTAAAACCCCCCAACCCTTCCCTCCCTCCCCCTCTCTCTCTCAATAATTATTTTAATTTTTAAAGTAAAATAGCCTGTTGTGAGTATCTGCAGCCAAAACTGTTTTTCCATCACTACAAGCATAAAGGCATCGAATTCGAAAGCCTTCAAACATTTTTGCATTGTCTTCAGGCCGATGAATGTCCTAATGAGATTTTAATAAACTATCAGTAAGAATTAAAATTGTTAAATGATGCCCAAACAGTTTAAAATGATTTCTTGAATTCGAAAAGATAGTTTTTGAAAACTAGCAGGGTTATATTGAGATCATCAGCATCCAAAACTAAACTAGGATCTCGATACCTCTAGCACTTTTAAATTTTAGTTGACACCCCCTAAAAACTCACATAAACATGGAAATGTCCTTTCTGGCCAGCACATGCCAATTTGTGGCTTTTGTCTTTAAAAAATGAAACAGAAGCAAAAGAATCTCCAGTAAAACGAGTATATTCTTTAACTAAACGACCACTAGGCACATAATACTTAAAAAGAAATAAGTTCAAAAAATTAATTTTCAAAAATTTACAATAAAACAGCCAGTCACGTTTGGCTGTTCTGCTGCACAAACGGCAAGATATCGACTATCATAACTCCAAGAAATACTCCCAATTGCATGGACATCCTGTTTGAAAATAAAAATTTTATTCAAAAAATATTTCAAAACCTGTAAAATTTGCATACTTTGGAATACATTAACTTTGGTTGGACTTTCTACTTTCCAAACCAAAACTTGATTTCCTTTAGCACCAGAAGCGATAAAATGACCACAAGGGGAGAATTTAACACACCAGACTTCTGCATTGTGCATATAAAGAGTCTATAATTTAAAAAAATATTTTAACTTTATGAGAACAAATAAAAAATATATAATAACAAGTATTAGATCCAAAAGCAGAACGAGTAACCCAAACCCTTAGAATTATCCTACGTCTAATAAATATATACTTTAACTTACACAAGTATTTTTTGAAGGAAATTCTCGGCTAGAGCATTGGTGATCGACTAGAATCGCTCTATCATCGAGAACATTTTGTTCTCGCGAAAGCACGTGTAGATCGCATTGTTTTGTTTGGTATAACCAGGCTATAAAATTATAAGAAAATTTCTTTTAACGAATACAAACATTGCTTTAAAAGTTCTTGAAGGCGATTTGGAGGCAACATAATGCTTGGAGGTAATAACCTTCTAAGGACATTTAATATATGAATGCTAACTGTTTCACTGTCAGCACATTCCCTTTGAAAGATTTGTGAAGCTGCACTAGAACATAATTGTGTTGAAAGAAGTTCTAGTCGAGAACGGAGTTCTTGACATTTTGGGTATTCGATTTGAAGTACACGAAGGGCAGTTAAATTCTTTAGAAATATTTTTTTATTATGTTAATTAGAAAATTTATTTTCAGAGATTAAATGTTTGAATAGATATTCATTTGTGCCTAGTTCAAGTAAACAGACAATTGGTTATATTCTAATTTTAAAATTACTGACGAGCAAGGGTCAGGGGATCGATTTCGGAGAGGGAGCTCTAGCCCGCCTGTTATGACTCTATTTTAGTTAAATTTTTAAAATAATAAAAAATTAACCTCTCCACGAGCAACCAATTCCTTGAACTTCTCTTCCAAAAGAATTACCCGTACAGCAAAATATTGTTTTTCGGTTAAATGAAAACGAATCTTTTCAATTAATTCTAAAGCCTTCTGCCATTGTGCATTTTGTATAGATTCCTTTAAAATAAATAAAAATTAAATTTAAAAAATCAACCAAAACATACTCGTAATTTCATAGAAAGAGGATTTTCAATACGACAACCAGTCTCTTCTACCAAAGAATCAACAGTATCACTACAAATTTTATTTAAAAAATTTGAGTTAAAAAAAACAAAACTGCATTCCAAGTTCACGTAAATATTGGCCAATAACTCTGACAGTATTTTTTTGCAATTCGGTCAAGACCAACGGAAAACGTAAATTTCGTTGTTCTTTTTGTGGCAAAATTCCTTTTGCTGTCACACAAGTCCCATTAAGTGCTACTGCCGTTCCTCCAATACTAACATCTTTATTTCCTCTAGAAGAGGCGTCTTTTAAGCGTTGGCCAACAGATTTAATTGAGGAAAGTGAAGAGCCAAAAGTTGCAGCGGCTTCTGAACCACTGCCGTAACCAATTCCGCCAAACCCGATTTGCATTCGCCTATTTATTGGCAAATATATTCTAATTAAGATTTACATTATTAACAATTTAATTATCAAAATTAGATGCTTATGTAAATTAAAATCTCAGAGAATTTTTGGTTTTTACTTTCTGAAATTAGGGTCCAAAATTGAATTTTACAACATGTATAAAACTCAAGTTATTCAGCTAACACCAATGAAATTCAAAAATATATCAAATAAAGACCTGATTTTTCTTGGAGGTGAAGAACAATGAGGTAGACCTACAAATATTTAATTATTCTAAAATGATAACAAAAAACAAAAAGAAACCTTCCCCTGGTTGAGAAGACGAAGTAGATGATGAAATTTGATCAGTTACCAATAATTGTCTGTTTGTATTGCCGCTAATGCCAGTGCTGCTCTCAGCTGCTGCTGATGAAGCTTCTTCGGCTGATGTTATGCGTGTGGTCGTAATTTTTCTTCCCGCTCAACGTCCACGCACGTGGAATACAAATATATTTAGAGATAATAAACAACAATAATTTTTATTTAAGTAAATGGTTTTTAACCTGTATTGCTGAAAAAAAGTTTTTTTTTAATTTCAAAAAAATATTAATGATTTTTAACAGTGAAATAGTGTTAAATCAGCTACTTTTTATCGATCCAAAAATGTCCAAAAAAAATATAAAATTTCATAAAATTGTCCTTAAAAGGACAATTCCTTTTTCTAGTTTTATTCGATATTTTTTTCTCATCAAAAAATTCCCCAAAGTAATTATAAAATCACACAAAATTATTAAAAGTAATGGCAACATTCCTGTTGGAAAATCCCTCCATCCATCCATATATTAATAAAGAGCAATTTTCTAGGAACAACAGCATCAAAAATGAAAAAAAATTCTTCATATCCCAAAAATAAGTCCTCTAGACACAGCTGGTTCTCGCGTGACACAAAAAAAGCAATAAATATAAATGAGATGAAAATAGTTTTTCTTTTTCAAAGGAGAAAATAAAAGAAAATACTCTACTTTTTCCTCTTTTCTCTCTTTCTAATCTTTTCATCTTACTTGGGACACAATGTTAAAGATGGGGAATTGTAATCGAATTTTGCACACGACTGAAATAAATTTAACAATTTTTACAACTCAAAAAAAATTGTTTTAGAGAATATTAATGTGTTCTAAACAAATTACCCCCAAAGAAATTAATTTTTGCATTCAAAAATTGACACATCCTTTTATTAAAAAATGGGAGAACCCTTAGTTTAATATTCATCGGTGATGATTTGTCGTTGTTTGCAAAGAAGGCTTTACTCTACTCAATCCCCATTTTTATTAAAAATACCTAGGTTCTCATTCATCTCAAAACAAATTTATATGAATTAACAATAAATTTTAGTTATCTTCCAACAGTAAATTCAAGTAAAATTAGATACTTGCTATCAAATCAATCAAAATAATTTCATAAAAAATTTTATTAAATCAATTAAAATATAAGGGCGGTGATTTTAGTGCGTCGGCAGCTAAATAAAATAATTTTGGAGAGGATAATACATATTTATCTAATAAATGTATTGAATAAATCTATACGAGCTACAATACGCGGAGCTGTACTTTTGACATAAATGAAGCTATATATTTTTTGATAAAAGGGCAAACAGATAAAATGAAGAAATGGGAGAAAAAAAAAGTACAAATTGTTTATTTACATTGTGAAGTATGTAAATAAAGATATAAATATATGGACAAATTTTTGTACATAGTAGATGATTGTTTATAGAAGGGAATGGATGGATATATATTGCACTCTACAGTGAGACATTCACAAATGGTAACCTTAAAGATTTTAAGAAAATTCGAGTTTTTAGTAATCCCAAAAGAGAAAATTGAACTTGGTGGGGATTGATTCTTTTCTAGAGAAGCAATATATTTTAATTTATGACAATAATAAGATAAAATTTTAAAGAATTTTAATATAATTTTGAACAATGTTTTGGAGTCAAAAAAATTTTTTTAAAGATCGAGTGTACATTTTTGTAGAGGCAAAATTGGAAACCGAGGATGTTGAACGCGGGGCAGTCGGCAGGAACAAAAAATATTAAAATCGGATTTTTGTCTTGATGAAGGATGGAGGAGATAAGGAGAGTGGCAGCAAAATGTAGGGGGAGATAATGGAGAGAGACAGCCTTTTTCTAAAAAAATTCCAATGCTGTGATTGATAATATAAAAATTTTTAGGTTAAAAAGGAAGGGGAATTCGGTCCAAATTAAAAAAAAAAACACGTAAAAACTAGATGTAATTTTAGATAATTGAAGGTAAATAAAAATCCTCAATTAAGTATATAATGATTCAACGTAGGTAAATTAGGCCGATCATTAATCTAAAATTTAGAGTAAAATTCAAATATTTATAAGTACCTACATTTGAGGTAAAGGGAAACCATCATGGCAAGGAAGGAGAAAAAGAAGTTTGTTTTAACAATGAAGAACAATTAAACTACTAACCCGACAAATCGGGGACAACTTGATCTTCTGTTACCTTAAAAAATTTTTTTAATTTTAAAAATCTTTTAAAATTTTTTACCTTTTCTCTTTCTATTTTCAATGAAATAAAAGGTAATTCCCGTCGGTGAATCTAAAATTAATTAAAAAATATTCTGAATATTCATTATTAAATTTAATTACAGGCAAAAATATTCCTATAATTTGTTTAAGAGTCAAAACTTTTTAAATTACCGATACAAAAGATGGAGCAGATCCACGGACTGAAGGCATATTCACCAATGCAGATCCACTCGAATTTAGCCCTGCTTGGTATCGAAGAGGGTGAATAACTTCTGAACGGCCCACATCAATTTCGTTTTGTTCTTGAAAGAATGAACGCACAGGATTCAATAAATGAGTCTTTAAAAATATTTAAAATTATTTTAAACTTTTATCAAAATCCTAATTTTTTTACTTTATTATTTTTATTAACTGTTAATTTTCGTCGACATTTGTGCCATTCCGTTCCATTTGGTACAACTCTTGTCGAATACAAAAATGGGCAATCCCGTAATGGAAAAACTTTACAATTATTTGTTTGTTGTAATTTTTCAATTTGTTTACAAGCATATGAGGAACAAGATGACCAAAGAGAACTTAACCCCATTGCTGAAGTATTACGAAACCAATGGGCCTAAAATATTAAGAATTTAGAAATTATATTCAAAAAAACCTGCAAAATCTGTGCGGCAGATGGCCGCTCATCGGGACAGGGTTTCAATAAAGAATGTATTAACCAACGTGCAGGCTCCGAAACTGATGACCGCATACGAGAAGAAAAACAATGAGAACGAATACGTCGGAATAATTCAATCGGATTATTACTTTGTTCGTAGAAGGGTAAGCGGCCATTTAAAAGAGTAAACCTTAAATTGAGAAAAAAATAAAAACTAGTTAATATAAAATGTTGATAGATCGATCAAATACCGAAGAAAAAGGTCAATTTCTAAATAAATAGAAATATCTCCCCAAAAATAAAAATCACAAACATCATAACACCAAATGCCCATATATCTGCTGCACGCCCTCCATAAACCTGATTCTTCAAAATGATAAAATTATACATATCTCGATTTAATTAAATTGTAAAAAACCTTCTTATCAAGAACTTCAGGTGATATATAAGCAGGTATAAACTCGCGAGAATTTATTAAATCGCAATCAACGCTCGGTGAAATATACAAATCAAGTACATTATTCAGCCGCAATTTTGTTCTAAAATATTATAATTTATTTAATTTAAAAATAGACAAACAAACTTTGCTTGGTCAGTGAAGACAAATTTGCAAAAACGAAAATCCCGAAAAAATAAACCAATTCGATGGCAGAATTCAAGTAAAACAGTTATTTGTTTAAGGATTTGTTGTACAAGTCTTTCGCTTAAACAAACAGGACGACACCAATAAGGGAAAGAAGCTGCTTCCTCTCCACATTCTTCTTCAATTAATTTACTTAAACTATCATAATGATTAGGAAGAAGAATCTTTAAAGATTAATTTGGAAAGATTAAATTAAAATTATTTTTACATAAATTAAGTTAGGGTGTTTGCTGCTTTTTAATGTTTGAAGTTGGTCAAATGGTAACAAAAGGTTGCTAAAAATATAAAATTAAAAGGGCAAAGGTAAAATGAATAAAATTAATTTTTTGTTCAATAAAAGTCAAGCGATCTGCGCTTGTCTAGATATTCTATGAAATATGGTATTTAGCCAAAAAAGGAGAACCACCCAAGGGAAACCACACAAAAACAAAGAACCACTCAAAGAAAACCAAAAATATTTAATTACCTCCTTTCTGCAAATCCCTCCTCGGTGTAACAATTCGAAACACTTTTCATTCGTGAAACAATCTCCATTAAATTATTAAATTCATTTTGTTTCAACATTTGGCAATGCCACATTTCTTGTGTCGACAAATCTATAGCTTTGCAATTTCGTCCAAATCCAATCAATTCATAACATTTTCTGGTTATTGAATCTTCCAAAATTAAATCAGAATCGGAAAATTGTGTATCAGTCTGTGGTGAAGACTAAAAAAATTAAAATGAGAAGACTTAAAAGAATAAGACACGAAACATTTTTCTTATATTACACTTTAGGGCTGCCAAGCTCTTGGCCTTGACTCAAGAATTTTCTAGGTTTCTTCGGTCTTGGGGTATAGTCTTGGTCTCGTGACAGACACTTCCCACAAATCAGGGATTATATTTTTCCGGAAAGCTGACAAGTTTTTGAGAACTGTTTTGGTAAGTATCACATAATTAATGTTTCTAATAATAAGGGGATATTTAATTATTTAAATAAAAATTCATTTCTAACTAAACTAAAATATTCTATTATGACCTTTTTAATTGGTGACAATAATTTTCTTTTTCTTTTAAATTTTTCTCTTTTATTTTTATTTATTAATTTCCATTTTTTCTTCCAAATCCAATAATTATTTTCAAAAAATATTTTCCTCAAAAAATTTTCAAAATAATAAAAATTCACATTCAAAGCCCGCTCCTCCTCAAGTAAATTGTCTTTTTGTAAATTTTTCTTCTCTTCCTCAACAGTTTGTTGCTGTTCTTCTTCATTTTGTTGTTCATTTACATCATTTATAGTTTCAAAAATATTTTGGTTATTTACTGAATCGAAACGTAAACGTTTTAAATGAATTTGTTGTTCTTCTTCCCCAGAGGAATCATCCGTATTTTCTGCTGCACTTGAACTGAAAATTGTTAAGTTTAACTCTAAAACGTGGATATATCAGTTTATTATCAAACAAATACTATATGTATCTAGGGGTGTATCTAGAGGCCCAAGTATGTCACAATTATAAATCAGGGTTGCCCTTTTACCCTATTTAGGACTTTTGCCCTATTTTTGAGTAATTGCGCCCTATTTTAGTGTTTTGGAAAGGACAACCCTGTTGTGGATACAACCCTTCTTAATTTTCAGAAAGTCCCGAGGAGTGAATTAAGCAAAAAATAAAAAAATACGTTTCATTTCCACTGTTATATGCCGACGATGACGAGGAAACTAAACGTTCAATTTCTTCATTATTTACTGCCCTCTCATCTCCACTCTCCGGAGTCGTTGTTTTTTCACAAAATGGAGCATAATTAAGCCTTTTGAATTTAAGCGAAAAACAAGCGCGTCTCTTACGAATTGAAAGGCTTTCGTTAACTGAAACTGCTTCATTTGCTTGAGAATTATTGGATAAGCTGCCACTATTTTGAATTAAATTATTATTATCTACAGATGAATGCTGCACCGATTCTCGAGTGCTGCTAATAGTGGAATCGACGGAAAGCATCTGAAAAACTGTTGAGATTAAAAAATTTCTTTTGTTTGAAAATTAAAAATGGTTGGGGAAGATTTGGAAATATTTACGTCACGTATATGACAAATTGAATTTTCGAAATTCTGACTTTTTTGAAATATTCGCCTAACACCCACTCAAAACTATTTTTAGAAATTTCATAATCAACAATTTAAAAATAAACTAACCAGACTTTATTTTTGTTTCTCCCGAGGAGCCCCGCGCACAAACAACACTCCTACTACAGCTAGAAACCTTTGTATCCTCTATATTGTGGCGAAGCATTATTTGAGGTATAATAAAAATGAGGTAAAAAATAATTGCAAATAAAATTTTGATGTCTTTGTTGAAATTTGTGGAAATAAGAGAAAACGTCTACAGTTGAAGAAGACATCTGTCGAGTTTCTCTTAACATAATTATGCAAATAAAGAATAAATACACATTGGCAAGTTTTTATAAGTATAATACATTTTATGCCCGAATTCGAAGAACGAGCTTCTTTTCTAAATTTTTGTTTGCTAGTTAGTCCTGAAAATAAAAAATTAAAATAAAATAAATTTAACAAAAAATACCTTTTTGTATTTCCTAATTGATAGTAGATTAAATTGGTTTTTTAAAGTAAAATCACTGATTGCTTCATTTCTATAATTAAATTTATTAAAATAAAAAATAATTTAATAATTAAATAATTAAGTACAAGCAAAACATATTCGGTCCATAATCCTTAAAAGTACCCAACAATTCCATTTTCCCATTAATTTTTAATTTCCCAGACATTTACGAAATCAAATTATAAATTTTCAAAATTTATTGATCAATCCAGTTCCCGACATCAAGAGATGAGGAAACAATAAAATGAGCTATAGAGTAAAAATAGATGTAAAGTATTTACATAAATTTACAGAGATTATGAAATATATTGGGTAATCCTGCAGAATCTGGGAGACACCTTAAAAACATCTTAAAAATTATTATTTTTTTTCTGAAAATAATTTTATACAGGTAATCGACCATGCTGGTCACGAATCTGATATCAGATTTTGTTGAATGCGACATTTTATCTATGATTTTTTATCATATACTTGATTTAGGGGCGCTTTAGTATATGCCCACAGTTTTTCCACGAAGATTCCGTTGGTCATAACTTTGTTCAGAATCATTCAATCGAGCTGATTCTAGTGTCATTCGACTCAGCTCGTCGAGTTCTCTCGAATGAGCTATTATTTGGATTTTCGATTTTTTGACCCCAAAAATTTTCAAATTTCGGGCGTCTGTAACTCGGCCCTATGTAGTCGTATCGCGATGATTTCAATGGCGATAGACTCAGCTCGAATACGCGTATCAGAGTAGCCCTAAATATTTAATACCGAATTTTTATCCAGAATTTCGACTCGGTCGAAATCGAGTCCGGGGTTCGAAATAAACGAATTCTAAACTCAGATTCGTGTCCAGCATGGTCGATTACCTATATAAAATTATTTTGAGAAAAAAATAATAATTTTTAAGATGTTTTTAAGGTGTCTCCCAGATTCTGCAGGATTACCATATATTGTGTATAGCAGCTATAGAATGCAAACACAAAGACCGGCCGCCCGCTGTCGCATTAAAACCCCCAAAAGAAAGACGGAGCACGCTACCCAAATTTCCTCATTCACAAAGGGAAAGCCAAATATTTCAAAATGTAAAAAAAGAAAGTTTTTTCAACATAACAAAAGCCCAAAACAACCATAAATGTTGTAATAAATGATTTATTTTCACCACACAGTCTAGAGCTGTTTTTGAGGGAGGAAAAATGAAATAAAAAAAATTATTTGAAAGCTTTTGGTTGGGTAAATTGTGACGAAATATATAAATAAAATGCCTAGCAATGAGCCCGTGACTATTTCGAAATTTTCTTCTCGGATGCCCACCAATTGTTTAAGAAAAGAAGAATGAGGAAATCAATTATAATCGAAATTTGGAAATATTTTCTAATAAAATTTTCTTTTTTTTTTAAATTTAAAATAAAATTCATTATTTAGCATATACCGTATTTATTCTAATTGAATGGCACCTCCATTTGAATGGCACCTCCAATTGAATGACACATTTTTGAATGAATGAAAAATAGAATGGCACCTCCATTTGAATGGCACCTCCAATTGAATGACAATTTTTTGGGGTATTGAAAAATAGAATGGCTGCCATTCTATTAGAATAAATACGGTATATAATGAAAAAACAAAGAAAAACAGTCAAAACAATTTTCAATATTTAAAGGTGCAAGAATTTTTTTGTTGTCAACATAAAATTTAAACGTGTCGAGAGTCTTAAAATTATTTTATTCATCAATATTCTTTTACAAAGCTTGTTAAGCTAAAAACCGCCATTCCCAAAACCTTCATTTCCAAATCCTCCACCCCCTCCAGCGCCTTCATCTGATTCTCGACGTCCCTTTCCGTTACGATTTCCACCACCAGAATTATTACCAAATCCGCTACCCCCAGAATTTCCAAATCCACCACTCGAACCTCCTCCAAACCCGCTGAAAGTTTAAATTTATTTTTGAATTTAAAAGTTTTCTCATTGAAAATTATTAATTACTGATACCTATTTGAAAATCCACCCGTCTCAAATCCTCCTGAACTGAAACCGCCTCCTCCATTTCCTCCGCTGAAGAATTAAAACAAATTAATTCGAATTAATTTAAAAAATACCTTTGGAACCCGCCTTTATTGAACCCGCCACTATTATTACCACCACCGCCAAACCCGCCACTTCCTCCATCACTTTGTTCACTTGAACCGCGGTCACCTTTTTATTGATAAAAAGAAATTAAAAAAATATAATTAAAACAAATGATTACGTTGAAAACCTCGACCTCCTCCTCTACCGCCACCACCACCACGACGATCATTACCGCGACCACCGCCTCCTCCACCAAATCCACGATTATTTGACGAGTCTCCACCACCTTCGCCTTGTTCGTGTTTAAATTTGCATGTATCTCCATATTTGCAATTTCCGGTGCGAGCGAAAAAGTTACAAATCCCTTAAAGATAAAAATTAAAAAAAATATAGACTCGAATATATACCTCCGCCTCTTCCTCCTCCTCCTCTATTACCTCCACCACCTCCACGACCTCTTCCACCACCACCTCCTCCTCTACCTCTTCCTCCACCCCCTCCAAAGCCATTATTTTGTTGCCTATCATCTGTGAATTTTAAATTGAAATTAATTTAAAATATTTTTTAAATAAACCAGAATTTTCTCCAAAACTAGAATTTCCAAAACCAGTGTTTCCAAATCCAGAATTAGAAAATCCACCACCTCCTCCACCTTCATTATTACTACTATCACCAGTATTTCCAAAGCCACCAGTTCCAAAATCTAAACAAATTAGATTTTCTAGTAAAATTTAAAAGAAATACCGGAAGATTTTTTAGAACCACCACCACCGCCCCCAAAACCTAAAATTAAAAAATAGCAGTAGAATTTAAAGAGAAATTACCTGAATTCCCAAAAGCAGAATTAGAGAATCCTCCTCCGCCTCCTCCATCACTATTATTATTGTCCCCACCAAAGCCGCCAGAACTTTTCTCACCAAAACCTTTAAAAGTTAATATAAAACTTCAAAATATAAAAAAAATATTACTTGAATTCCCAAAACCAACATTTCCAAATCCTCCTTCATCATTGTTAGAATTCCTACGTTCACTGCTTTCTTGGAATCCACCACCGCCCCAACTATTACTACTCTTTGAAAATCCACCATTTCCTCCACTACCAAATCCTGTTAATATTTTTAAATATTCTGATAAGATTCATTTCTCTCTTAAAATAAAAAAAGAAATACCGGAAGACTTTTTAGAGCCACCACCTCCGCCCCCAAACCCTAAAATTAAATAAATAGCAGTAAAATTTAAAAAGAAACTACCTGAATTTCCAAAAGCATTTTCCCTCGTTTCTCCAACAAATTCAACAGAATCAGCAGAGTTGGCAGATTCCCCAACTAATTCAATACTTTGATTAGACGAAGCTAAATTTAAAATTTATTTTAAAAATAACTTTATGTTTTACATCGTTGAGGTTTTCCTCCAAAAGCATTATCGAGGGATGGCTTGCGATTAAAACCTCCTCCACCACTAGAAAATCCACTCGAGAATCCTCCACTAGAAAATCCACTATTATCATCGCCTTTAGAATTAAATTTTATAAGAATAATTTTAAACCTCAAAAATACCTTTATTACTAAATGGATCTGCCTCATTTGATTCGCTAGTTCTTGGCTTCTTTTTTGGTATTTTAAAATCACGCATTGATGGAACTCTATCTGAAAATAAACAAATATTTAGAAATTTATATTCAAAAAATAATACTTTGGAAAACGATACCATCCATTACATCTCTTGCAGCTGGTTGTTCACCAATAGACTGGTTAAGAGATGCATCGGCACTTGTATTCTAACAAATATAAAATATTTTTTGCCCTCCTAGATAGGGTATTTCTTTTTTTCCACCAATTTATTTATTAAAAATCTTCCCAATTAAAGCCATTCAATTAAAAAATATTAACCTGTTCACCTCCCCTGTCTTCAGTACTACCATCGATTGACGAGTCCTGAAAGAAACATTTTACTAACCAATTTATACTCAAAACCTTTTTTCGTTTCTTAAACGAAGTTCTGTTCCCTGATGATGGATTGAAGGCAAGTTGACCCTCAGCAGCTTTGCGACGAGCTTGTTCCGCACGAGCCTCCGCCTCTTGCAAAGCTAAAAATATTTTAAATAATAAAATTATAAAAACAAACTCTGTGCTTTGGAAACATCATTTTTATTTGTTTTTGACGTTTCACCAGTCCGAACAGATTTTGTCGCAAAAACGGCTTCTTTCTGAAATTTTAAATAAAAAAAATGATAATTACAAAAAACAAACAATTTCTCTTAGTCGTTGAAACGATCTCTTAAGTTCTTGTTCTTCTTCAGTCAAAATAGCCTCTGCTTTTGCAGACATAATTAAAATAAAGATTGCTCAAATATTTAGACAATTATTTAGAAATTCTGTAAATTAATAAATTTTAGAGAATTTTATATTGGAGATTAAATATATGTATTTAGCTAACTCTCTAATTGAAAATAGACGTTGTATAGTGGCCATCTTTAAATTCTTCGGTAATATTGAACCGGACAGACCCACTTTCTTCCTTCCCAATTTTTCCCCTATATTTTTACAAAATGGTCAGACTTTTTTCTTTCTTCCATCCAAATTGTTTTCCAAATTTTTGCCCACAATCAAAATTGGAGAAGAAAAACAGGGGTCTGTCCGGTTCAATATTACTAATTCTTCTAATGTTCTAGTTAGGTTTTAAATACACCCGACACGCAAGGAAATATGCTTGGGCATAGCATCGACGGGAAAGACATTTTTGGGCAAAAGGAAATCAGAACATTTCCAAGTACGAAAACTTCCACTACGCATATTTGGCCAAGTTTGTTAGGTATATCATCAAGGCCTAGGCCTTAACCCGAACTTCCTCAAACTTTGCAAAAAACAATTGAGACTCAAACATGCGATGCGGAAAAAAGGTCATTTCAGCATCACCATTTCAGTGTAGCGTGAAAAGTCAATAAAGCGTGAAATCTAAAAAATGTTTTTTGTTAGTCGCGAGAAAAGGCAACATGGGGAAAAATTTTTATTGATGAGAGATGGGTAGACTTTATACTTCCGGGCCTTCTTTCAAATTTTGTACTATTTCCTTAGACCTAAAAAATAGGTAATACGTAGAGATCGGAACGGGATCGGGACCCGGTCCCGTTTCCCGGTCCTTTTTCCCGGCTTTTTTGAAGATGCCGGGATGAAAACGGGATCGGGAATTCCCGGTTTTCCCGGTCCGGGTCCCGGCCGGTTAATTTTCATTTCCCGTTTCCGATCCCGGCTTTTTTTGGACCGGGAAACCGGGAAAAATTCCAGCAGCTAATTTTAAATATTTTTGCTTGGCGTTTTGATTTTTGACTTAAAAATATTGTAGATTTTACAAAAATTATCAAAATTTTCGCCTGCGGCGCTGAAAACGGAAGAAATTTGGCTGTTTGGCCTTCCAGAATTCTCAAAATTTTCGTGGAAGGATTTGGAACGGAGAAATTTAAAGGTATGTATTATTGGAGGAAAAGTTGAGGGAAATTAGTGTATAGTGCGATTTTATCAATGGACCTGGTGATTAAGCCATCTTTATCCCTCTAAATCCATTAGATCTGCCTTAATCATCTGATATCATTGCCTTCCATTTGAAGGGATTTGAATAAATATCAGGTGATACAGGTGGTTGGAGGTCTTTCTCCACAATCTCTCTCAATGCTACCCAATAGATACTTGAATCTCTCGACATCTCTTTTAATCCCTGATATCACTATTGCACAAAGAAGATCAGAGTGATTTGGAGGGATTAAATAAAAATTAAATTAAATAAAAATTAAATCAGCATCATGGTGGATTAGGAGGGATTAAAGCGAATTAGATGAGGAATACATATAGGCGATATAAAAAATTTGAGGAGGCTATCAGGAGATCTTAAACTCCAAAATCTCCCAATATCCCACAATCCTTCTCTAGCCTCTCAAATTCCTTTAGCCCTACGTAATCCGCTTTATGTTTTAATTTATTGTAATTTACATTTGTTTTATTGATTTATTTAACTGATTTATTAAATTCTTCTATTTCTAAATCAGATTTTTCAATAAATAACTACTCCCATAACTTTTTAAAATTTTTAAATGAATTTAAAAATTTTTTTAAATTTCCCGGTTTCCCGGTCCGGGTCCCGGTCATTTTTGACCGGGATGAAACCGGGAACGGGAATTCCCGGTTTTCCCGGTCCGGGTCCCTCCCGGTCGACCTTCAGAACCCGTTTCCCGTTTCCCGGTCCCGGTTTTTTCAAAATTCCGATCTCTAGT